TACCTGGCAGCACGGTGTTTGGCATAGCACATAGTAGGCATTTAAGAAATGTTTGTTGAGGTGTGTGTGTGTGTGTGTGTGTAAATCATATATAGCACTTGAATTTTTTCTCCCTTCTTGGTCCTCACTGGGAAAAAAGCGGGGAGAGGGTAGGGATTATCCTCATTGCCTCCAGCAACTCAGGGCAGCAAATACTTTGCTTTTGTTTTTGCTTTTAAATCTCCAAGTGCCCTGGTGACACCACCTTCCATTTAACAAGGGTGTGCTGCACTAACCTGACAATATGGCTTCCTGGGGACACAATATTAATGCATACCAACAATTAGAAAAAAGCACCAGACAATAAGTAATCAAGTGCCAAAATGCACACGAAAAGGGAAATGTTTGCTACTATGATCATATTAAAATCACACAGGAGTGACTTAAAATTTCTCTCAATATATACTTCTATTTCTAAGGAATTTTAAGGGCCAAATTTTAAACTCTCAACCCAAGTGATCATGTGAAACAGAAAGAACGTTAACTGATAATTAGGAATTTACATTCTAAATTGGCTCTTCTACATGCACGATTTTGAACAAGTCCATTCCTCTCTCTGGGCCTGTAAAATTAGGGGGTTGAACTTGATGATCTCAAAGATCCCTTCTGGCTCCTAACAGTCTAAGATTCATGAAGCCTGGAAGTCTGACTCCTTAAAACTCTACTTGAGTGAGTGCTTCTGTCTTTGTCTTTGGTGTGATAGAGCTGAGGGCCCAGGAGCAGGGGTAGTCGGTGAGCTGCCTAAGCTGAGTCTTGTCTTGGTTCTGTTACTGATGGTTGCTGGTGTCAATTCAACACCAACAGGAATCCCCAATTTGGGGTGCAGTGGAGAAGGAAACTATTCAGTGCAAACAGCTTAATTGTGATACAGTATGGCTGTGAAAACAAGATAGATGTGGAACAATTTAATAGTGTTACAGCTCAGTTATGAAGCAGTATAGCTTGTGGAACAGCATGGCTACGAGGCATGTTGAGGCAAGGTGGCCCTGGGGCCAGGCCCATCTCTGGCTGGATAGCTCTGCTCTGGTCACACATCTTCGCTGTTTCATCTTTAGTGTTTCTGCTTCTGCTCCAGCCAGAGGATACAGTCTTCAGTCTTTGGTCCCTGGTGGAAACCGTAAGTGTGGTCCCAGAGCCAGAGGGGAGTTGACTTATATAGACAGAAGTCCTGCCCCTGGTCCCTGATTGGTCCACACTCATGCAAATAAGGACTCCAAATCCCTGCAGTTTGATTAGCCAAAGGCACCGTCCTGATTGGTCGGTGAAGGTGACAATGCCGATGGAGATATAGCTGCACAGCTCCAATTGGGTGGGAAAAGCCTCAGCCCTATTGGTTGAAATAGGATTCCAGGAACTTCTTTATAAAGGCTGGTTCAGCTGGCAGGAACACAGTGCAGGCAGGCAGTTCAGGGCAGGAGGCAGGCAGTTTAGCCCAGGCTTCCTGAAGTGTGGTTTGCAGGAGAGGTTTACCTGTGTAGAAATGGCTGCTAGGCTCTGTTTTTAAAATATGAGCCCAGTTAAGCCACTGAGAGCCCTTCTCAGTAGGTATTTTCTTTCTCAGGGTCCACAGTTTTCACTGCTCCTAAAAGACTGAGTAGCCACTCAGTGTTCTCAGAGGAGGTCGATGGCCACAGATGACCAGAAGGTGTGGTCTAGGGTTGATAGTGGCGCCAATTGTACCAGAGGAACTGACAACCTGCAATCTGTTGTCACATTAGACCTGCGGAGCCTTGGTTGACTAGTCCATGATTTGCAAAAGGAGTTTGAAATGGGAGGATTATTATAAAATGCTTTTATTCTGCAACTTGCTTCCTCTTCTCAGAAGACTCCAAGGTGCCCATCACCTCTTCACCTCAAACAGCGCCCTCCCATGGGCTCTACCCACCAAGGCTAGTCCAGAGCTTCTTGAGCTCTTCCGATCGCTGGTATTGACTCTGGCCACCAGAGGGCACTCTTACAATGTGGAAACCAACAGTTCTCTGTTCCTGGAACCTGCGTCTCATCTTTGCCAGAAAAACCTGAAGTTGCTGAACCCATTCTCTGCTTAACAGATTCCCAACTGCCCTGGCTGGTGTGGCTCAGTTGGTTGGGTGTCCTCCCATGCACCAAAAGGTTGCTGGTTCTATTCCCTGTCAGAGCACATGCTTGAGTTGCAGGCTTGATCCCCAGTAGGGGGCATGCAGGAGGCAGTGGATCCAAGTTACACTCTCACATCAAAGTTTCTCTTTTCTTCCTTCCTCTCTCTAAAAAAATATCAATAAACTATTCTTGAGAGAGAGAGAGAGATTCTCAACCAGGGATGGCTCCTTCTCCCCAGGGGATATTTCACAGTGTCTGGAGAAGAAAGCAGGGAGGGAGAGGGTGCTACTGCTATCTAAGGGCCAGGGATATACTAAACATCCTGGAATGTACAGATAGCTCCTTACAACAACGTATTTTGTGGCGCAAAATGTCAATAGTACTGAGGCTGAGGAACTCTGCTCTACTTGAATCTGTTGTCTAAAATGCAGACTATACCACCTGGAAACTTATTCCTCTGGAACTGAGTTTTCAGTCTCCTAAGTTCACCTACCCCAAAGGGAAATTTTAGAATAGGGACAGTGTGGTAAAATGTGGTGTGTCGCAGCAATCACAAACCACTGAAGAGGAGGAGGGGTAAGGCAGAGGGCACATTGGTTCCCATCATGGACCTTGTCCCTGGGACTGGCCTCTCTGAACTGGGCTCAAGCTCCTCTTTCTAGAGCAGACAACGCTAACTCCTTGTCTTCCCAAACTGGGCAGGTTGTTGGAAAAGCCTTGGAGTTGGGCCTGTGGCTTTGGGAGCAAGTGAGCAGCAGTTTTCTCTGTAGCCCCTGAGATTGTTATTGGTGGAAGTGGAGTTCTTGGGGTGCTGCAAGGAAAAGAATTTTCTGAAGCTCCCACAGAAGGATGAGGTTTCATGGAAAGCTTTATTGATGATGTAAAATTAAGGGAGTTCCCCTCCAAGGTTCCATCTCCATCCATCGTGCCATGAAAGAAGTCCAATCTGGTCCTCAGCAGGACTAGAATTAAGGCCACAGCCCAGAATTTCTGCTCCATATTAAAGTCCAGTCCAGCATCTGACTAGCTTAGCTTGTGTTCCCAGCTGCAGTCCATTGCATGTGGGGTCTGCATGGCCATGGGCCATGCAGCTGCTTTAAGGCCACATGGTGAGTGAGTGCACATCATGGAGCAAGAGAGGAAAGGGAGCAAGGGAGCGGGAACTCTTGGGGGATTTTATCTTTTCATGATTTTGCATGCTTGCAGTGGCTCTACCCTCCTCATCAGTTATCTTTTTTCCAGGCTAGACTGACAGGCAAGCACCTTCCCTTTGTCACCCTGACTTCATTGGGCATGTGCCCATCTCTCCCTTTGTTCGATCCCTTCCCCCAGTGATCTGCAGGGAATGGACCAGTGGTTTCCCAGAGAGCATGAAGCTGTAGCTTCCATTATAATTAGCTAGTTATTAATATTAATAATAGGAAGAGAGCAAAGGGGAGATTAGACATTATAAGCATGGTCAGCTGGGAAGCTTCACCAGGAAGCTATAGCCTATATCCAGCTTGGAAACCCAGGTTTCTTGCTTTTATCAACCTTCCTGTGGGATGAGGCCTAACCCAGTCCTACTCTGGGTCTCCTTCCTATTCCATTCACGACAATGATGTACCTGCCAGAGGACTGAGAGGCAACAGAAAGCAAAATGTACAGGGATCCCAGAGACAGGGAAGTGCCATTACTCTTTGGATGAGAGACAGGGACAAAAGATGGACAAAAAGACCTTCTGTACCTCCTTGGTCCCTGCTCCACATCATAGAGAGGAAGTGGAGACAAACCCTGAGCCTGTCATTGACAGCCTAGTAATAGGAGAGCAATAGGGTTCAATCACCTTGGTATTTCCTTGGTTAAGCAAAAGGCCCTCTCTCATGTGTCTCCCTTTCCCCAGCCACCCAATGCTTTAATTCCCCCCTCCCACACCTGTCCCTCTTAGGACCTGGGGCTCAGAGCAAGAGGGACCCCACCAACACCTTCCTTCACCCCCAACCTCTTAGAGCTCTGCTTAGAGATCCACAGCAGGGATCTGAGGGTCATTCTGTAAAGAAGCCCTGCTCTGCTGTGTTGTTCTTTCCTTGAGGCTGGTTTTCTGCATGGCCAGAGTGGCTTCTTTTGGCCTTTCTCTCTGGGGCATGATGACAGCAGGAGGGAGGAGACGGGTTGGCTTCATTTTCACTTCTGCTCCAGGACTGAAGCCCTCATCCCAAGCCCCCTCACCTCTTCCCACCTGTAATCTTGAATGGCGTTTAGGGCCACACCAGATCAGAGGGCAGCAGAAATGTGAGCCAAGAGGGCAGTTTGCCAAGGGCATTTTATTCATGGCCTGCGGTAGAGTATTACAGAGTCCCTCCCTACCCCACTCGCTTGGGTCTTGGGGAAACGGATAGAGAAGAACAGGCCTACATGCACATCCCGAGGTCCCAGAGATCAGAGGGATGGAAAACAAGGACATGGAGGGGAAGGAGGGAGACTGGGCAAGGGACATGGGCCCCAGAGAAGAAAGGAGTTGCCCTGAGGTTCAGGGAACAAATCAACTCCTGACCCCCTTCCCAAATTAGCCCTTGGATTTCCCCCTCATGTGGGTAGGTATGGGACGCTTCAAATGATGGAAACCTTGTTCTCACCTCTCTCAAAAGAAGTTGAGATTAAGAATCTCCTTACTCTGATTAGCAATTTAGTGGGATGGGAGGGGGCACCTCACCTCAGTGTTTCCCATCTCCACATATGCTCCTTCCCTGCAATGTCCCCAGCACCTTGGGTCCAACTCCATCCATTCATATCCTCCTTCAATTTAAACTCATTTCCACCCAGGGAAGGTGCAAAGCCAGCAGGGAGGTGGACAAGAGCAGAGATGGAGTTTGGGGGCCCCCACTTCACATCTTCCTCCTTAGTTAAGGAGGGTCCAAGCACCACACTGCTTCAAAATTAACCAAATTAGGGGACATGGGACTTTCCTCCCCGATTTGGGTCTATGCCTCTCTGAGGAGAAGCCCTCCCAGGGATTCAGGCACCTCTTTGCCCCCATCAGGGGCTGGGGCTTTACCTCCAGCCCTTCTGGCCTAAGGGATACCAGGCGGAACCTCTCACCAGCCCCTTGTCCCAGCCCAGCCAACAGGGGAAGCCCTGGAAAATGCCAGGTTGCTGGGGGGCACGTGGCCCTGGGAGCAGGGTGTCTGGTTTGGAGGACCCTGGAAACTGCTGCTCTGGGAGGAGAGGGGGCAAGAAGGGCCCTGAGAGGTGGGTACAGGCGGAGGAGAGAGAGGGTAGGAAGGAAGGTGTGAGGGAGGCAAAACTGGGCAGCTCTTCTGGGAGGCTCCCCGAATGGCAGCAAGGGCTGAACAGGCAGGGAGTGGAGGCAGAGCCAAGTCCTAGAGGAAGAGAGAAAGGGTCAAGGGAGGGCCCAGGGAGGGCCCCCCCAACGTTTCCTATTTCCCATTTCTTTTTCCTCTTGCTGAAAACTTACTCCCCTATCCCGTGTGCCTTCCCTTTTCCTTTGCTTCCGGTCTCATCATAAATGTCACTTCCTTGGGGAAGCCTCCTGCGACCACCTCAGTCTGCGCAAGAGCCCTGGTTGCGCCTCATGACCCCCAGCACCTCTCCTCCAGGGCCCTTTGCTCGGTTAGAATCAGGTAGCCATTTGTTGATTACAGCTCTCTAGAGGCAGGAACAGTCTGTTTCATTTTCCTCTGGATTCAGCCGAGCCTGGCACATATTAAGGGCTCAATAAATATGTGTTGAATGAATGAATGGAGATATTCTTTGCCATACACCCAGCGAATCCACTCTTCACTGTCCCTGTAGCAGAGGGCTCCAGTTCTAGCTGGGCAAAGGACTGGTTGCATGGCCCTGGGCTTGTCATTTAAATTCTCAGGCCTGTTTCTTCATCCATAAAAAGTCCTCTCCTAGCTAAGAATAAGCGATATCATTTGTAAAAAGGGGCCCACAGAGCCAAGGGTCCCAGTGCACATGGACTGAGCCCGTCTTCCTCTTCTCCAGCCGGCTCTGGCCCATAACTCTCTTCTGCCAAGAAGCCTCCCTTCCTTCTATTCCTTCCAAACCTTCCCTCTCTCCCCAGGATCCTACATAGGGGCTCTCAGCCTGGGGTCTCCGGGGATGGCTATATAGAACTTCACATCACTTTCTATATTTCAAACACCTAACACCAGTTCCATATTTTTCTTAGCAAGACCACATCATTTAACTAGAAGAGCAACTATCAACCCAATGTGATCACCTTGGTGGAGCTATTGTTGATAAAAACTGGAAAAACAAATTAGTTATGACAAGAGACGATATGCCCGATTTACTTGATAGAAACAATATTTCTGAAGTTGGATCTACATAAGAGGAAAATAGTAAAAAAATGATCCTTCATGAGGAAAAGCATGGAGACCTCTGCCAGAGGACCCTCTCCTGGGCCACTGGCCTTTTCCTTGGGTCCTTACATAAGGAGAAACTGCTGTTTTCCACCAGGAAGGTTGTGTCCCATGACCCCTGAGGTCGGAGCTGTCTCCCCTCGGAGATCCACAGCTGAGTAGGCACCTGGAGGAGATAGCACTGCTCTCCCACCCCTTCCTAGAACCAATCTTGCACCTGCTGCCTCTGGCTCAATAGTCCTGCCAGTCTTTTGCCCAGAAGCAGTTGGCATCAAGTGCTCTCAGGAAGGTAGAGGTGAGGGGCTGGCACAGCCTTCTGGAATCACCATCCAGAAGTAAGGCATGTGGCTGCGACTAGTCTTCTGATGACCTAAACCTGCTTAGCATCCCTCAGGGCCCAAGCACAGGCAGGGTGTGTGTGCGTACCTGGGGCAGGGAGGTGCAAAATAGCCCACTCCAAGCCAGGGAACAGTTTTTTCCCTCCTCAAAGTTTCCCAGAGAGGGAAGCTCTGTGCCCAAGGCATTCCCAGAGCTGGGAAGGGGCGGCTGGGGGCGGAGGGACAGGGAGAGCTGTTCAGGTGCTGTTTCGCTCCAGGCTGCAGGATGGGCCCCAGCAGGCCCGGGGCCGCCCACGCCCACAGCCTCAGCTGCACTCACAGGGGCCCAGAGCCAGGCGCCCTGCATTCCCTGAGAGGGGGGACCTCTGGGTCCCCAGCTGCTCTGGGGTGGGGCTAAGGCCAAGAATTCTTAGTCCAAGAAATTGCCAAGGAACAGAGGGGTGGGTCATGGGCGTCCGCATAAGAGGCTGTGTCTTTGTGACCTTTTCCACAGAAAATCTGGTTTTGTCCCTTCCTGCCTTGCAGCCCTGTAAGTGCTGGCCTCTGCAACATTTCTACCTTCTCCCCCTCAGGCCACTAGATGCCGCCACGTTTGCCTTCTCCCAGTTCCTTTTTTCCTGTCCTAGGATCTGTGCATGCACCGTTTTCTCTGCCTGCCACGCTCTCCTCCCTCCTTCCAAACTAAGCTGAAACCTATTTACACTTTGGGTCTCAGTTCAAATGTCACTTTGCCAAGGAAGTCTTCCCAGATGCTCTCTGCACCCTGAACTTCTCTGTAGCAGTTAGCACAGTTATAATTACATAGGTATTTGTCAAGTTATTAACTGGGTGTCTACAAACTCCCTCTTGCCTACAAGCTCTATAAAAGCAGTCCTGCTCACTCAGGTTGGTGCTCTCAGCCCTAGGACAGTGCCTGGCATATTAAACAGGAGGTCATTAAATATCTGTTGAAAGAAGAAATAGGTAAGTGAATGAATGAGTGAGCGAACTTTATCTTTCCAGCCTTTCTCCAGTGGGGCCCCTGCTCCACCCCATGGTCCTTGCCTTGGTACTGGTCCTGTCATCTTCAGCCTACATGATCTTCAAAAGCCCCCTAATACCAGTCCTATGCCTACTCTAGCCCAAACTCTACATTAACCCAAGTCATCTGTTTGCCTTGCTAGCCTCATCTGTCACCCTCCTTCTTGTCCCCACCATCACATAAGTCACTCTCTGATCATGGCAAGCTACGAGCAGTTCTTCAGATTTGCTACATGCACTCACAGTTTTTTGCTTTACAAAGGCTATTCTGTGCCTGGGCATCTTCCTCCACCTGCTTCACCTCCTCTGGGAAGGCCCAGCTCCTCTGCCTTCCTGTAGCACCTTGTGCTTCCCCAAATCTCAGACCTGTCACTGGCTGTACTCCCATCTCTTCTCCCCACTAGTCTCTGAGCATCTTGAGGGCCATCTTTCATCTCCGAATCCCCATACCTAATAAATAGCTGCTGCTCAAGAAATGTTTGTTGAACGAATAAATGACTTATGTTACCCCTTGTTTCAATGAACAGATATTTGGTCCTGTCAAAAACATCCACAGAGACATATGGTCATGACAAAAGGTCCTTGACGTTTGGTTTTGTCCAAAACGTTTACTCTTAGAAAATGTCCCTGGGTTCAAAGGGCCCAGGGTGTTTATTTCTTACTTTTGGTCTACAGGTTAATGCATAAAAAATACTGTCATGTTTTATTGGTCCAATAATAATGTCGTGGCTGTATTGCCAATAATCCTTCTTGCCTTAGCAACCCAGCTGGTCATGGCACATGGGGTTAGGTAGATGGGTGGGGGTGGACCAAATGTCCTGCGAGGCTTGTCTCATGCTCCCTCACCCATGTGTTCATTCAGGAGGGTGCTCCCCTTATCTGGTTAAGATTCCCTGGGTCCTTTCCCTTCCCAAGCACTCACGAGAGACACCGCTGCTGCTCCCCTTCTTATCCTCAGAGGCCTCTGGTGGGCCTCGGGGGGTGCACTGCCCAGCCAGCTTCTCGTCCATGGCCCAGGGGGTGAGCAGCATGCTGTGTAGGAGCTGCGGGGTGAGGAGCAGCGGGGGTGGGGGTGGGTGGAATGGGCTCTCCCTGGCATGCACTCCCCAGGACATACTGCTTAACAAGTTGTTAAAACAATGAAATGTTCTCATAATGGTTGTTAAATCACCCCTGCCCATATGCCCTGGACCCTCACCTGAGACCCCCACTCCGTTCCCTGTGATCCACAGCATAGGAATATTTTAGAGTATCTTATCCCAGGGACTAGGATACAGGGAAAAAGGACATTGGAAGCTGATAGGCCCCTGAGGTCCAAGAGGAGGGCTGGGGCCTGATGGGCAGAGAGATGGGGTCTGTTGGAGCCCAGGGGATAGGGGCTGCCTTCCTGCTTACCTTACTCTGCACGCCCATGGGCACCAGGGTTGGCTGAAACAAGGCAGGGACCCCCAGCAGCAAGTTGGGGGTTGGCACTGTCCGTACCTCCCACCGAGGATAGTTGACTATGACAAGCTTGCTGAAGTTGAACTTGTAAGTGAACCTTTTGCCTTTGGTTTTGTGCAGGATCTTCTTATGGTAGTAATATCTGGAGATCCCAAGAATGAGAATGGAGAGTTGGCCCGGTGGGCAGGGAATGCAGTCTGAGACCCAGCCATGTCCCCCTCCCAGGCCAGCAAGGCTAAGCAACCCCCAGCTGTCCCTGGAGAACCAGGGGGCATCTGACCACACTCAAGGCCATTTTCCAAGCCTTGAAAGGGCAGGAATCAGACTGGGTGCCAGAAACCACAGCCCTTGTCTTTGAACTCTGCCCTGTCTGGCCACTTGGGCTGCCTCCTCTCACCTGAGGGCCCGGCTCAGCTTGTCATAGTTCATCTGTGGTTTGCACTTCCTGCGGCCCCAGAGGCGGGCCACCTCGTCTGGATCTTTGATGACAAACTCCCCGTACTCTCCCTGCTGCCAGGCGATGACATGGCGGAACTCTTCCTTTTGCAGCAACTCCAGGATGAAGTGCCACAGCTGGATCTGTCGGGAGCCCGGGGACGACTCAGCTTTGTAGGCCCAATCAGGGCAGGCCAAGCCTGGGGCAGAGAGGGGAGTGTGAATGCCTCCAGTGCCACCACTGGAGCCTAGGTGGGACACCTGGCAGAGGCTCACCTGAGATCCAGGAGTTGCCAGCAAGTGTGGGGATGCCCTCTGCTGAGCAGCTGCAGTGCATGTTCCAGTCCGGGAGTGAGGGCTGTGTCTGGGCCTTGGGAGGAAATGGCCACCACTTAGGAGGAAGGGAAAGAAGAAGGCAAGGGAGAGGGAGGTGAAAGCAGGCAGGAGGAGGGAGGCAAAGAAGGAAGGAGATAAGAAGGAAGAGACAAGGAGAGAAAAGGGAGACTGAGGCAGGGGAGCAGGGTCTGAGGCAGGAAGCTCCTCCACACTCCCGCAGGGTCCTGCCTCCATTGGGGACCTCCTCACTGGCCAGGAGCTGACCCAGGATGCTGAGTCACTTATATAGATAGAAAGGAATGCAAAGGGTCCTGTATCCTGCCCCCTGCTGGGGGATTTAGACAGAGAAGGAGATCTCTTCTTGGGGCTTAATAGGATTGGAGTTTTTCCTAAGATAAGACAAAATGTAATTAATCATTGGCTCTTTCTAAATCTTGAGAGGAGGAGGTGGCAGATACAGAGAACCCATAACAGTCATTGTACTTAGAGCAATTTTACATTTGAGAAGTGCAGGATTTTTGTGTTTTTTTACTGAGTCTCGAGAGCCTAACAGAATGTCTGGCACGTCATAAGTGTTCAAGAAATGATTGTTGATACAGTCAATGAATGGTAGTGAATTTATCAATGGTGTCTCTATGAGTTTAACTCCTGTCTTCTCCCTCTGAGTGTTAGCTCCATGAAGTCAGGAAGCTCAGCTGTCTGTTCACTGCTGGCTCCCTAGAGCCCATTCTAGCCCAGGGCCTTGCACTCGCAGGCCCTGCTTTCCCCACACCAAGAGATCATAGGGTCTCTTGCTCTCCCTTTCCCAGGGAATGCTTGGCTCCAGGCAAGTCAACTGAAAGAATAACAGCTCATGGGGGGGGGGTGCTTCTGGGGTCCCCCGTCTGGCCTGAGCAGAAGACATCTCTGGAAATTAGGGCAATGATTAGGTCAATGCCACTCTGAATCTGAGTGAATAGGTTTCCTCACATCCCTCTGTCTGTAAAATGACAGCTGACATTCTGGAACCCTCTTCTCTCCTTCGTTTCCTCCCTTTAAAGAAGAGTCCCCACTCCTCTCCCACCCTCATTTCCTGCCCTGTCCTTTTCTCGACATTTCCTGCACTGAGCTGAGGAACTGACATGTCCTGAGCCTCACACAAAGTATCAGACAGGATAGAGCTCAAAATGATGGCGTAACTTCTCTAAGGTCATATAGTTTCAAGGGAAAAAGTGGGAAGCAAGACCTGAAATCAAGATTTACAGTATATGGCCATGTAGGTGGCCTACAAACATCCTATCTTCTGTGCCCCAGAGAAAAACCCCCAAAATACAGAACCAAAGTGGGTTAAGCCTCTGGGTTTCCTGAATATCTGAATGCCACAGCCACTCCCTGGCCTGATGGCGTGTGCCAGTCCCTCCTATAATCTTAAGTCTCTGAGGAGCTTGCCAGTTCTAGCTGTGGGAATCCTCACTACTGGCAAGTCTTGTCATACGTCTCCCCTCAGGCCCTCCCTTTTTTGCTGGAGACTTTGAGCTGACCAACTTTGGGGGCCCTCAGAGAGGAGCAGGTTTTAGTTCTGCCTTCTTGCCCAAGAATTACTCTTGGTGTTTAACCTTAATTCCCTGTGTTTCATTTTAACCCACACTCCTGGTGATGCTCCCAAGGCTGAAGGAGGGAGGTAGTCCCACTCCCCCATCTCCCAGCTCCCTCCCTCTCATGCTGTGCAAAGCTTGGGGCAGCTCTGTGAGGCTCTGCATAGCCCCTACAGTCCTAAGAGGATTGAGAACTAGAAATCAAAAAGGATCCTAACCTAATCTTGCATCATCAGAGTGGCCGCTCATAAGCATTTTGTGTTTCTCGAAGGGTTCTAGCAGCAGGCGATTATGACTGTCATCACCATCATTCTGATCACTAACAATATGATAAATTCTCTTGGCCAACACAAGTGCACATTACAACACATGTAGGTTTTAGGTCATTATTTAATAGAAGCAAGAAAGATAACGATGATAACAAGAGGGAGTATGCCTCAAACTAGGACTTGGAGCCAAAGGAAATGTCCAAAGCAGATTTTACCTTTTTAAGAGTTTAGTTGATATGAATTGGGTCCCTATGGTGCACCCAGCATTGGGCTTGACATTTTTTTGGTCATGTTTCTTCCCTGAGTCTTCACAATAACCCTTTGAGGTGGGTATTATTATTTGTTTTGCAAGCCTAGGAAGTGGAGGCTCAGCCGATTAAGAGACTTGCATAAGATTCCCTGGCAAGTGGTGGAGCCGGATGGAAACAGGTCTGTCTGACTCTAGGCTCCCAGCTGTAATCAGTCAATCGGGGCAGAAAAGTTGAGGATGAAACTTGGGAGCAGAGACAGGAGGCTGGCAGGAGGCCATGGGCTCCGAAGGAGGCACTCAGTATAAACCTAAGAAGTGGGCTCTTTGCCAGAAAAATGATCAGCGGAGGACCCAGAAAGCCAGAGGGCAGTCAGATGGGCAGAGCCTGGAATGCAGAAAGGGTGAGAAGACAGGAACACACCCAGAGGGGAAAAAAAGTCAAGAGTTCAAGACCAACGCTGCATCTCTGCAAAGTAGAAACTTGCATCCAAAGTCATTTGTTGTGGGGCCTTCTGAGGAGCTGCATGATCTATCTGCTTGACTGGACCCAACCAAGTCTAGAGACTGCTTGATGGATTCGGTGGGAAAGCGGGACTGTTTCTAAACGCAAAGGTGGAGGAAAGAGGCGGAGAAGAGAGTCAGCAAGAAAGAGCGAGTCAGAGAGAATGAATCACAGAAACAGAGTTGTGGGAATGGGACTGTGGGCACAGGTGCGGTGAAGATACGCCAGTGGGGGGATCAGATGGGCGGCAGTGTTAACACAGGGATGGAGGCTGGGGGGAGCACCGAGCACACTGCCATCCCCACCCTCTACCAAATCCTGAATCTGATCAGAAGCCTCTGGTTCCTTCCCTTGATCTCAGCCCCAAGTGGAGAGCGGTTAGTCCTGAGACCTCCCTTAATGCCATTAGCTAAAGCTGCTTAGTTAGGCAGGAGAGCAAGACAGGCTGGGGCGCCCCCCCTCCCCCCGGAAGGGCAGATCCAATCCCTTTTTCACTTGGGGAATTCAGAGGGAGGTGCAGGGGTGGATGTCCTCTCTTCACAGAGACCCCAGGGCATCTTGTTCCTCCTTCTTTCACAGCCCCCACACCCAGAGAGCACTTGCCTAGGGCAGAACGGACTCCTGAGTGATGCTCTGTGGCTGGGAATCCTACTGCATGTCCCTCCTGCAGCTCAGCCCTTCCAGCCCCTACCCCCACACCTG